AGCTTCCCAAGTAGCTGGGACTACAGGCACCCACCACAACGCCTGGCCATTTTTTGGTTGCAGCCATCATTGTTGTTTGGCGGGCCTGGGCTGGGGATTTGAACCCGTCACCTTAGGTGTATGTGGCTGGCGCCTTAGCTGCTTGAGCCATAGGTGCCGAGCCCCATTTGGATATTTTCATTTAATATAAGAAACTTCTCTAAATACAGATATTTTTCACTGTATCATTCAGACATTGAATGTGAGAATTCTTTTTTTTTTTTAAACATAAGACACAAGAAAACAAGATCACCAAGGACTTCTAACTTAATTTTACCTTTGTTACTTATTTTTTTTTTTGAGATAGTCTTACTTTGTCACCCTCAGTAGAGTGCTGTGGCATCATAGCTCACAGCAACCTCGAACTCTTGGGCTTAAGCGATTTGCTTGCTACAGCCTCCTGAGTAGCTGGGACTACAGGTACCTGCCACAGCACCTGGCTAGTTTTTGTTGCAGTTGTTACTGCTGATTTAGCTGGCCAGGACTGGGTCAAACCCACCACCCTCAATATATGGGGCTGGCGCCCTACCCACTGAGCCATAGGCACTACCCCTACCTTTGTTAGTTCTGAAACGCCCCAAAAGCACATGGGATTGAAAAAGCAGACTCTGGCTTGGCACCTGTAGCTCAGTGGCTAGGGCGCCGGCTACATACACAGGGAATGGTGGATTTGAACTCAGCCCAGGCCTGCTAAAAACAACAATGACAAGTACAACCAAAAAATAGCTGGGCATTATGGCAGGCGCCTGTAGTTCCAGCTTCTTGGAAAGCTGAGGCAAGAGAATCGCTTAAGCCCAAGAGTTTGAGGTTGCTGTGAGCTGTGATGCTACAGCAGTCTACCAAGGAAGACATAGACTCTGTTTCAGAAAAACAGAAAAAGAAAGAAAAAGCAGAACTTGATGTAAGTATAGGGAAGTCATTTGTTCTTTATATGCTTAAAAAATTTTTTTATTTTTTTATAGAAACAAGGTCTTACTATGTTTCCCAGGCTGGTCTCAAACTCCTCGGCTCATGCAATTCTCTTGCAAAGTTATGGGATCGTAGGTTTGAACCACCACACCTGCCCCTCTTTTTATACACTTAAATAAATGGTCCCCTTATTGAGAATATCAGCCATCATGAATTTCTTAATACAAGAACATTATGTAAGACTTGACCTAGATGCTTAGTTTTTTAAGAAGCTTAGATTTTTTAAAAAAATATTATACCATTATATATTAAAAGAGTATATTAAGCTCTTCATTTCTATGCTTAAACGGTTAGGAATATGGGCTTTATAGTCCATTTTCTCAGTTAACAGCACTGTCAATTGCTATTTGACCTTGCTGAACCTTACCAGTTTCCGTAGTAGTAAAGTAGGAGTTATGGTAAAAGTTAATTGAGAATATAAAACCCTTTAGCATTCATTTGACATATAGGAAGCACTCAGTTGATGTTAGCTGTTATTCTCATTGTCAGTGTTATCATAAACTAATATTGAAACATGTTTACAAAATTTTTTTTGTGAAGAATAACAAAAAATGAAGTTGGGCATGGTGGTTTATGCCTGTAATCCTAGTGCTTTGGGAGGCTGAGGCAGGAGGATTGCTTGAGGCCACGAGTTCAAGATCAGCCTGGGTAACATAATGAGACCTTGTCTCTATAAAGTCGATCAGTAAATAAAATGATATCTCAGGAAATGGGAAAATGTTCAGAATATCCTTATAAGCCAAAATACCAAAGTATAAATGGACATGTGAAATTTATTGTTAAAAAAAAATTGAAACTGTAGTGGCTAGCTTTAGTTTATAGACCTCAGCAGCATCTTTTTACATTGTCATGTGGGTATGGATTCTGCCATTCATAGATAGTGTGCTCTTGGATAAGCTATTTAACCTTTTTGTGTGACGGCTTGTCCTGCATGTAACAGGTAATTATAAGGGAGGGTTGTTGAGACTGGAGTGAGTTGTTACTCTAGAACACCGCCCGGTACATAGTGATTGGTCAATAAATGGTAGCCATTGTTAGGAGCGGTATTAACACTATTCCATTATTCTACCACTTTGCTCAGTCAGTGACATAGACTGCTAATAATAAAACCCAAAACTTACACAGAGCTACAAATGACATGGTAAAAATTTTAGTAGACTGAACTAAAATGACAGAAATACCATCTTCCTGATCTAATTTAGATCTGCAGAAGTTTGAAAAGGGAGGATTGGGAATGATAGAAGTAATGTCCAGAAAAGAAAATTCATTTGCACAAGTTCTCATGGGACAGATTTGAAATGAAATGGAAGAAAATGACTAATCATAGGCAAAAATAATAAGCACTAACACTAAAAAAACACGATAAAGCTAGGATCAAAAATTATGGAAAAGAACAACGAGAGGGAAAGTTAGTGAAAATATTAAACTATGCATTAAAACCTTAATATATAAAACCCTTTTTTTTTTTTATATATTATGCCTCTAGAATTAGTTTGTATTCTTTAGACCCTGGGTAATTTGCATTGTATTAATTGGACATCATCATTGTGACCAGAGAATTTTGGAGTTATGTTCTGTTATCTCTGCAGTGACAGAAAAAAAATTACTTAATACATTTAGAATGATTTTAATTCAGAAGGCTAAAACAATGTTTTGGCATATAAAAAACATAAGATACATAATATTCAGAGTGACTTGTTATCAAAGCATTTCAACTCTTTGTAAATTTTATTGATAAAAATTTGTTCCCGATTAGAGGTGGTGAATGAGTGACCTTGGGGCCAAATGTGACCTTCTGTACACTTGCATCCAGCTTTTGACTGAATCCAAATTTTATAGAACAAATCCTTTAAATAAACACAAATCTGTGAAGTTTGGGTTTGATCCAGGGGCCACACTTGGTAATCTGGAGGGCCACATGTGACCTTGAGGCCACAGCTTTCCCACCCACTGCCAGGGCTTTAGGTTAAGAGCAAAAATTGTAACAGTACCCATAAAAGAACTATAATCAAATTAAATAAATCACAGTAGCTCCCGTTTGGAGGTGGTCATTCAAAAAGAGTGCTCTTTCCTATTTGGTAAGGTAAGTGTTGCTAAGTGATACACCTGTTTCACATGCACATCTTGTACTGAAATCTTGTTTCTTAATGGTGTCAGAATCACTAGGAGAAAGGCTGTATATAACGCATTGAATTAAAAATTCCTCACGTGCACATGTCTTTGGGTAACTGGGGCAGGAGACTATGATATATTTTAATTAAGCAGTTAGTCATTTTTAATAGAATTTAAATTTAACATCAGTTTTATTCCTAATGTGTTAAAGAGTAAAACTAACCATTCTTTATTCATGTTTGTTCAGTAGAAGATTGTTATTTATAAGTTTTTTTCTTTTTTGAGACAGAGTCTCACTCTGTTGCCCTGGTCGAGTGCCGTGACATTGTCGTAGCTCACAGCAACCTGAAACTCTGGACTCAAGCAGTCCTCCTGCCTCAGGCTTCTAAGTTGCTGGGACTACATGCATGTGCCACAGTGCCTGGCTAGTTTTTCTATTTTTTGTAGAGATGGGGGTCTCACTCTTGATCTAGTTGGTTTCCACCTCTTGAGCTCAAGGGATCCTCTCACTTCAACCTCCCAGAGTGTTTAGGATTACAGGAGGAAGCCAGTACTAGCAGCTTTATTTTAAAAATTTGAGTTTCACCTTTTCCTTTATTACCTGAATTTAATGTGAAGTGATAGACAATTTGTTTTACAAAGTCTTTTGTAATGAAGAATTAGATACTTTTTGCTTTTGTACAAAAACTTTTGTATGGGAACTCTCTTAAAAAGGATTTCTCAAATGTCTACAGTTGTATCCATGTTATAGAGTAGAAAAGGAAATGGGAAGGTTTCATGGGTAATTTCTTTGTGCAGTATTTGCTTTTTCCTTTGTTTTCAGCAGGAGAACACAGCATGCATAACTTTTAAAGTAAAAAAGTTTAAAGTTTATGCATAGCATGCATAATCTACATTTCTAGGGTCAAATACAATTTCATTGGGATTTATGGTTACCCTGGTTTTATTTCCATTAGATTAAAATAAGATTTTCAGTGATTGTTGTCTTCTGTAGTCTATAACTGTGCTGTCCAATAACAATAAAGCATGAGTCATAAGCAATTAAAAATTTTCTAGTTGCCACATTAAATGGAGTAAAGTAAAATTAATATTTTTATTTTAACTTAATATATTTAATATATTTAAGTATTTTAACATGTAACCAATATAAAACTCATTGAGATACTTTCCTTTTTAATTTCATATTAAGTCTTCGAAATCCAGTTTGTATTTTATACTTACAGTGTGTTTAAAGTTGTACAATATTAGCCATATTTTAAGTGCTTGGTAGCCACACATGGCTAATAGCTACTTTTGTATGTAGGACAGGTAGGTCTGTAAACCAGAACAAATTCTTAATATCTGGATGGATGGGACAGAAAAAAAGAGATATTTATCTTATATGATTTGGATTTGATCAGTATAACATTTACCCAAACCCAGTAATGTGGTCATCTTTGTAGTTAAAAAAAAAAATGGGCTTTTTTATTCATCGGAAAATTATTTAGAGGAGATATTCTGGGAATATTGGGTAGCTGGAGCTTTTAATCTTTATTTTCTCTTAATAACTGTGGTATGTAATTACATTATTTTTACTGTATATACATTTTTATACTTCCATGAAATTTCAGTATATGTTTATAACCTTTAGCATAAATGCAGTTCCAACTACAATGAGGATTTTGTGCTGCAGCTAGAGAAGGAGTTGGTCCAAGCCCGACTGAGTGAAGCCGAGTCTCAGTGTGCTCTAAAGGAGATGCAGGATAAAGTTCTGGATATAGAGAAGGTAAGAAATGCTGTCACTCTCCAGTTAGAGGGGGATGTGACAGAGGTTTGTTAAGTACTTATTGAGCAATTAAATGGGCCTTGGTGTTTTTACACGTTAGAAAGTATATGTATTAGTTACCAAGAGGGAAAGAGGAAAAAGAAGGTTCTTAGGATTGTCACTTAATTCTTTGTTGCTTTCATACTAATCAAGGTCCAGTATTTAAGGATAAAAATGGAGATTAAAGCCATCTTAGAGGAAATCAACCAGGATAATTTTCATAGGAAGAATATTTAAGTGTTGCAAAAGAGAAATTAGGAGACAGAAATGAACTGTTGTGTTCAAATATTGTAGTATCTTCATGTGGAAGAGGTAGAATTGGACTAATACATAGACACTTCAGAGAAAATTCAATCTGGGTATGATTATTTCAGTTGCCCAAGCTAGACCAAGTCACTTCAGCCTTATAAAGCTAACTTAACCTCTTTTCAAGGTTGTTAAAGAACATCAAGAATTAGAAAAGTAGTAGGAATAGAAAAACTTTTAGGTTTCTTATAACCCTCAGATTTGAGAGTCTTGTCTTCTAGATCACAAACTCTGAATCTCGTCTTCTCATCTATAAAATTACTGATGACCTAGGTTGTCTATCGAGTTTCTTTGCTTTTATCCCTAGGTAGTATCTGGCTATTGAATCAAAAAGGAGCCAGTTAGATAATGGACATAACAGTTTCAGTTTTTAACTAGAACAACTTTTACTAGAAATCTGCTTCCTGTTTTTAGATTGTTTCTGACAAATTCATTCTCTGGTTCATTGAGAAAAAAGCCTGCAAGAATGCTGAAAGAAATGCCTAACAGGAGATTTGGTCTCTCAGTAGTATTTCAGGCTTCATGATTCAGAACAGAATATGTGTCTTGCAGTTAGAAAGATATTGAATATTTGGTAAGGAAAAAAAGTCTAGGTTCAGTTCAAAAATGAGTTTCTTCAGTGACTGTGCTGCCTTTCATGGTCTATAGTAGGAGGGAAGTTGGAGCGTTGCATTATTCCTACAGCTCGTTTCTTGTGCAGCATCATTTTTCTTTTTAATGCACACGTGGTAAATTTTTGGTTTTCAATTGGGAAAACATTTAAAGCCCATTTTAAGAACATATCAGGCCTGGAAATCTCAAAAGTACCTGAGTTTACCCAGGAACTTTCCCTGATATTTGATTTTGGATCTCTTGGCAACTCTGCAGAGTTTGGTATTGGGATACCCTTTTAGGATAGTAGGAGATTGTTCTAAAACCCTAAATCTTGTATCCATGAAGCAAGTATTTAGGTCATCTTGGTATCAGTTCTTGACTGTTGATGTAAATAATGACTAATACACAGAGATTTGATACCTACCATTCTTCAAGATAGCATGCTGAGAAAATGCAACCAAAATTTTTTTGGCTATTTTCTATAAATCTTCAAAATGTAAATGATATTCATGCTTGATTTGGAGTCTTGGTCAGAGATTAATAAGGTTATTGCCGTGTAGAAAAACATTCTTAATCCTGTTGTTCCTTAACTTTCATAATCTTTTATTGGCAAGGCAGGGTTAGACTCTCTTTGTCCTCAGAATTAAAGTTAATTGCCTTGTTGAAAAACATTTTTAATCTTTTTGCTCCATAACTCTGTTTAGTACATATTAACAAGGCAGAGTTAGACTTTCTGTGGCCTCAAAATTAAGTACAATTACCCTCGTACATTGCTGATAGGAATGTAAAGTGTAGCTGCTTTGGAAAAGTTTGGTAATTTCTCAGAAGTTAAATTTATAATAATACCATTGGAGTCAATAGTTCTGCTCTTAAGTACATACTTAAAATAATTGAAAATATTAAGTCTACTTTTCCACCAGTGTTCATAGCAGTGTTATTTATAAAAGCCCAAAAGTGGAAACAACCTCAAATATGTGTAATTCCATTTATATGAAACGTCCAGAATAGGTAGATTCATAGAGCCAGGAAGTAGATTAAGGGGCGGGGGAGATGGGTAATATAGAATGACTGCTGATGGGTATAGAGTTTCTTTAGGGGTGATAAAAATATTCTGAAATTAGATCACGGTAATGGTTAAACAGCCCACCCTGTGAATACTCTGAAAACCACTGGCTTATATAGTTTAAAAAGGGTGAATTTTATGGTTTGTAAATTACATTTCAAAAAATCTATGTAAAATTAAGTTTAGGACAAAATAACTCTTAAGCATGTATGTTTTATTTATTTATTTATCTTGCAAGTGTGTCTTGGTTTGTCACCCCAACTAGAGTACAGTGGTATCATTGTAGCTCACTGCAACCTCAAACTCCTGGGCTCAAATGATCCTCCTGTCTCAGCTTCCCAAGTAGCTGGGACTGCAGGTGTGTGCCACCACACTTGGCTAATTTTCCTGTTTTTCTGGGAGAGATGTGGTGTTGCTCTTGGGCAGGCTGGTCTTAAATTCCTGAGCTCCACAGGATCCTCCTGCCTTAGCCTCCTAGAGTTCTAGGATAACAGACATGAGCCATGGACCCAGCTCTTAAGTGTGTTATATTTTATTTTATTCCTTAAATTTTAACATCCCAACTTAAATTTTTGGTTGCTTTAGAGGAACAACTCCCTTCCTGATGAGAATAACATTGCAAGTCTTCAGGAAGAACTCATTGCTGTTAAACTGAGAGAAGCAGAGGCGATTATGGGTTTGAAAGAACTCAGACAGCAAGTCAGAGACTTGGAGGAGCACTGGCAAGTATGTGAATGCACTTTGTGTGCTTTTTAAAAGGATAAAATCCAAATGTCCAATTGGTGAGTGTTTAACTGACAACCAACAGTAGGAACAGAGTTTGAGAAAAACCCTGTTTAATGTCAAAATTTAGAACATTTGTTAATTCAAAGTACATTTATGCTGTTTCTCCCTTTTTATTTCTTAAAATAAAAGATAAAAAAAGTCATTTTTGTTGTATCATTGTGCTCTATATAATTTTTTTCTAAAATCTGTAAGAAACTATTCTTTTTTTTTTTTTTTTTAAGAGACAGAGTCTCACTTTATCACCCTCGATAGAGTGCTGTGGCAGCATCACACAGCTCACAGCAACCTCCAGTTCTTGGACTTAGGTGATTCTCTTGCCTCAGCCTCCCGAGTAGCTGGGACTACAGGCACTCGCCACAATGCCCGGCTATTTTTTTGTTGTGGTTTGGCTGGGGCCGGGTTTGAACCTGCTACCCTTGGTATATGGAGCTGGTGCCCTACTCACTGAGCCACAGGCGCCGCCCAAGAAACTATTCTTTTTTACATAGTACACATTTTTTCTCATGCTGATATTAAATCCATTCTTAGTGTAAAACATTAGAAGGATAACAGTATAAATTTGTGATTGCTTTGAAAAATTGGTTATCTTGCAAAATAAACAACATTTATGGTAGTTACACGCCCACAAATTTGTTCATGTATGAGGGCTATTATTGACAAGAATATTCCATAGCCTGTTAGACAGAAGGGAGGGGAGAAAAATCTACACATGTTTTCAGAATAGTGATCTCGGTTTGAATTGGGTGGAGAGAGGATGAATCTAGTGTGGACTGACGTCAGTCCTTGATGTTACTGTGGCTTTAAAAAGAAAGTGTTTTGTCCCTGGTTGTCTAGTGATTAGGATTCACGGGGGAGGAAAAAGTGTTTTGCAAAAGTATGACTGCAATAAACTGAAAATTTAAAAACAGAACTTATCTTTCACTATAGATATTTTGAGAAACCTTGCCTTTTACTTCTGCTATTTCTCACATAATGAATGGCCCTATTTTTGCTATTTCCTTGGAATTTCCTTGAAGATAATATGAAAAATCCCTCATAAAAGAAATTAAGAATAAAAATTGTATTCTTTGTAAGAATTAATCCATAGCATGTGGAGAAAAAAAATTTTTAAATAGTATTTGAGTTTATATCCCAGATCTGCCACTTATTGGCTATGCTGCCCTCCTGAAGTTACTTAATCACAGTGTCCACTTTCTTACTATAAAATGAAGATAATACTGAATGACTTTTAAGATTTTCTAGAGATTAAATAAAATCATGTGTTGAAAGTGCTTCATAAAGTACTGGGCCTGAAATAAGTGCTCAGGAAAGTTAGCTCTTATTTTGATACTGAGAATATTGGTTGCAACATAATATTTTATGCTTTAGCGCCACTTATCTCGTACTACTGGGAGGTGGAAAGAGCCACCTAAGAAAAATGCTGTGAATGAACTGCAAGATGAACTGATGACCATTCGACTTAGAGAAGCTGAAACGCAAGCAGAAATAAGAGAAATAAAACAAAGGATGATGGAAATGGAAACACAGGTATGGTGGAAAGGCCTAGTAGCTTTAAAGTCTGCCTACTAGCAGAAGAGACTGCAGATTATATTATCCCTTAGATAAAGGTAAAAGGCAAAAGATATGAAACTGGGTAGACTGACATTTTCTAGCCCAAACGAAGAAGGCTAAAAATTATTTTCTTTGATTTTAGGGATTCAATTTCTTCTTGACCCAAAGTTCAAGCCAGTCAAACTCTATTTGACTTTATTAGGTAAAGCTCAAAGGGTTTTCTTATTGTATGACATGGTATAGAGCAAAATTTCTCATTTTCAACACACTTGACATTTTGGGTTAGAAAATTCTTTGTTTTACAGAACTAGCCTGTGCATTGTAGAATGTCTAGCAGCATTCCTTGCCTCTGCCCATTGCATGCCAGTAACCTCTTTCTCACCCCAGGCTGTGATGACCAGAAATGTCTCCACATGCATGGCCATATGGCCACTGGGGAGCAATTTTGAGACTAGTTGAGATCCACAGGGTGTAGACTATAATGTAAATGGTGTTTCCTGAAGTTGTATGATAATGATGACCCTCAGTAGTCAATTGCCCTTCTTCTTACCTAACCCTTTTTTCTTTCTTTCTTTCTTTCTTTTTTTTTTGTTGCAGTTTTTGGCCGGGGGCCCGTTTGAACCGGCCACCTCCAGTATATGGGGCCTGTGCTCTACTCCTTGGGCACTGCCCCTAACCCCTTTTTCTAATAAATCTTATCTTAAATATATGTAAGAGCTATAAATGTCTTTTTTTTTTTTTTTT